AGTATTGCCCGCGGGACCCATGCCCCGTATTTGCACACGAAGGAGTGCCGAACAGTTGCTACCCTATTGCTTAGGGATTTCTCTGGCAGGCTATACGACCCTCGTGAGTGTGTGCGAGCGTGTGGGTGCGAACACCTCAAGCCAAATAGAGAAAGCAGAAGAGTGGGGGAGAGAAAGGATTACTGACAGTTCTATTGGAACCCCTGGAACATTTTGACAGTTCTGTTTGCATAAATGAAACAACAGCTTGACTAGACCTGAAGGAATATATTGAAAAATATTTGCAGTTTCCTTTGGCTTGGGGGCTTCCCTGATGAACGATGCAATTGTTTATGTCTGGAGATTAAATATTTTCTTGTTTATTTTAGTTTTAATAATATCAATAAGCCCATGTTAATTTTGAAATATTTTTCTGAATTTATTAACATAGTTTTAGTCACTAAAGAAGGTTTTGGGTTCGATATTTGACTCATATCGGCGTGATAGAAGGGAGTGCCCAGGCAGTGTCCTTTATAAAAATCTCTGTACAAACAAATGGGACTGTAGCATCCTCTGGGACTTCCATAAACACTCGTAACACAAATGCCACTCCACGCAATTGAGATTTAATCACTAATTGCCAGTCGGTTGGACATTTTTCGAGCAGTGGCCTAATTTGTAGATATTTATTGTGGCCCAAACGAAACTCGGAGCCACTGCTATTCTACGGGAAGTCCCTTCTGTATCGCAGGCCCGTTCCATGGGAACCAGCTATTCGATTGGAGGCCTCCAATCACTCCCCTTTGCTCCTGGGAGTCGCAGCTGAGAGACACAAATGGCAGGCTCTTGGCCTGTTTGCCAGTTGGCTCATAATTTGTAAGCCATATGAGTGCAGGAAGTTGGCAATTGGCCAGCGGGCAGAAAGAGACAGATAGAGAGAGAGCTCCAATTAATTACATATTTACAGCTGTAGCATGTGGCAGTCCAACTGGTCACAATCAAGTCCAGGGCCAGCAGCTCTGGCTAATCAGCCATGGATATAGCCATTTATAAAAGCCAACAGAGGAGAGAATCAAGGACCCCCCCTCTCTAGCACTCGCACAAATTTGCATTAAGCCAAAGCGATTAGTTTATGTCGAGGAAGCAGGGGAAGTGGCAGGGGCAGGGGCAGTGGCAGTGGCAGAGAGCAGTGGCAGTGGCAGACAGAAGCAAAAGCATTCGAGAGCAATAAAAATATTTGCCATGGCTGAAAACAAAACTGAATTAATCAAGTGAGAGAGGGGAAAAAGAGGGGCGCAAGCGGGGGCGGGGCTCTTGTGGCAAGTGGCAAGTGACATCCGCTCGCTCGTCAGCTTCCGCAGGCAGTCGTCAGTCCTCAGTCGTCGGACGGCAGTCAGCATCTGTTCTGTTGTGGCCTCCCCATGGAGCTCGCCGAACAACGGAAATGTTAAATGCCGCCAAGAGGCAAAAATCCCAAAGCCTGCCACTGCCACTGCCACTGCCTCCCCCTCCCTTTTCCCCTGGTGGCAGCAGTATCCGCTCCTGGCCCTTTTTCACTGATCATTGATTGAGTTTCGTTTCGTTGCGTTCCATTTGGTTCTGGTTCTGGCCATGGACCAGGACCAGGACCAGGTTTTGCCTACATTTCCATTTTGCCTGCCCCTCCCTGGGCCCCACCCTTTTTTGTGTCCTGTGCTTAATGCTGAATAGACATGTTGGCCATGTTTGTTGACCAGGCCAGCTGTCTCTCTCCCTCCTCCCCTCCTCCACTCCTTCTCCTGGCTACTTAGCTGCCAAGGAGAGTGAGTGCCCCTGCATCTGTGTCCGTAAGTGACTTGCCACATTAAGTGCTTTTATTGATGTTCATTTGGTACAGCAATTTGTAGCATTTTGTGACATTTATGCGTCTGGGCCATTTAAATGCCATTATGCAACAATGTTTGTGGCAGGCGAGGGGTGTGCGCCCCTGGAGCATGCCAACATTCGAGGAGAAATCGGGTTTATTTATCCAGGGATACCTCCATGGAATACTATTCAAATCACTCTCTTGTTTTCCCCCAAAATCGCATTTTCCATAGCCAAATATTTGCTCGAATCTCCCATCGAATCAAATCCACTGACCTGCCGCAATCTGAACGACACTTGGCTTCAAATATTCCGTTTTTAAATTACTGAAATATTTCGCTGAAATCTATGCACAGCGGGGGGAGGGGGGGGGGGGGGAGGGTGTGGGGCGCTCAAACGGGTTTTCTCTGGCCCGAAGTTGGGCAATCCGTGGGTCGATTCTCTCCCACTCGGCCAGCGGCCATTCATTAATTTATCGCTCGCTCGCTCTGCATTTCGGTGTACATACACTTATGTCGGCTTGTGTAACCAATTAAGTGTGAAAAACCTTCTTTTTTTTTTGTCTCTGCGGCCTTGCCGCTCTGGGTTTTCGATTACAATGAATAATGGCCAGGCAGGATAGCAGGACAGCCGATCCTTGAGGGAAGTGAAAGCAAGGGATAATGAAAAGTGAATGGGAAATATAATGAAGGGGGCAATGGCTCTGGCTCTCTCTCTGGTTGGAGCGTTTTTCGAAGAGGAAAGATACCCTTTAAAGGGTAGCACAAAGTGTGGCTCTAATCGTAGCAATTCGGACTCTTATTTGTCTGTTTCGTTGCATCTTTTGGTTGCTATGGCAGTCCCTCACTATTGCCCCCTAAAAATCCACATTCTTGATTTTTTTCCTGTTTTTTTGTGTTTTTTTTTTCAAATATTTAGAGTCGTAAATTCCGTTGAAATCTGTGTGTGTTTTTGCTGCTGCTGCATGCACCTTTATCTCCGGAGTGAGTCCCTGCCGCAGTCGATGGGAAAACAAATCAATGTCTCTGGCGCTCTCTCTCTCTCTCTCTCTCTCTCATCGATTTGTGTCTGTGTTTTAATATGCGTTAAGCGTTGCCACTGCCACTGCCACTGCCAGTTCCCTGTTGCTTTCCCAAAAACATGCCACACTTTGATCTCAACTCCCTGCCACCCCGCCTGGCTCCCTCGCCACCTCTTATTCTCCTATGTGCAAAACGCCCCGCAGCACTAAAACTTTGCCGAAATGCATTTGCGGTTGAAGTTTTATTTCTATATTTTTTTTGGGTCGGTGGGGGAAGGGGGGGGGGGAGGGGGAATGTCACAAGCTGCTGCAGCGGCAATGTTTGTGCAACGTGTTTGCGGCACTGTTTGCCGAGCTTTAAGCTGCGAAAAATCGAATCATATGTTGAATAAATACAAAAATCTTTAAATAAATATTTGCCCAACAGGAAGTGCCACATTTAATGGGGAAACACGGAGGGGCACACTCGGGCAACCGAATTAGGCCACAGGACGACGGCGTCTGGACAGGAAAAGGACGCTGGCTGTTGATTGAATTTCAAGAAAATCAACTCGGTGGAAAAGCTTGTCTCAAACAGCAATTTCCCGCTAAAAAGGACACTCCGAGCAGAGCAATTTATTGGCCATATTTATGATAAAACATGAAGGACACTGCGGGCAAAAGGGGCGTGGTTGGGGGGGGGGGGGGGGGGATAGAAAATGGAGAAATATTAAAAGCCAGCATCGCCAGTTGATGCGGTTTTTGGTTCCCAGTTGCACAGCACAACTTGCACCAATTTGTTGAACGTCTGCCGCTTCTACTTATTTTCTTTCCTTCTCTCGTTTTTCCTTCGTTTTCCTGCGGCTTTGACCACATCCATCTAAAAATAGCTTTTCCACACGCTTTCAGTGTGTTAAAAATAACATCATCTTCGCCTCCCCCCCCCCCCCCACTCCTGAAATTGAAGAAATGTGTTGCAAGTTTGCGTGCAACCAGGGGCCAGGGGGCAGGGCGGTAGGGCTGTGCGGCTAATAGTTAATAAAATGCCAGAACTTTAAGTGGCAGCTCTCTCGCTCTCCCTCTCGCTCTCCCTCGAAGCGAAGGAAGGGGGGGGGGGGGGGGGGCTTGTACCTGTTAGCATGCAACACACATGCCACACATACATGCAGCTGCACCTGCCTTTGACTCTGGGCTGAGGTTGAGGTTGGCTTTGCCTCTGTGGCTCCTTCTGTTGTCTGTTGTCTGTGGCAGAGAGTTTAATGCCTGCGTGTCATGAATGGCATCGCAATGTTTCCACTTGCCACAAACACACACACACACACACACACACAGGCCGCATCAGTTGGCTGATAAAATTATGACATATGAAACTTTGGCCTGACATCAGAGGGTAAGCCCCGGCAAAAACCAAAGCATGCAAACTCACTTTTTTAGCCTTTTCTTGCCTCGCTCCTCCTCCTCGCCCTTTGTGGCCATAAACATGCACACAACATGGATGACGCACAGACCCCGATAAAGCGACTCCTCCTCTGGCCGCTGCTGCTCCTCCTCCTCCTCCTGCTGCTCCTCCTTCTGTCTCTGCCGCTCCTCTTCACCGGGCACTAGATTAAAGTGCCTAAGAGCCCAGGCGAGGACTCGAGTTTAGAGAGTGTGAAAGAGCTAGAGAAAGGGCGATGAGCACTAGAGCTTAAGGGAGCCCCAAAACATCGAAGGAAGGCACCAGAGTTCTGGCTTCTGGAGGTGGAATTTGGGGGAACCCGAAGGTGCACAGAAAACCTATTGAGACGAGTATTATGTGGAGTTGTTCGTGTTGTTTCTTTCCGTGCCAGTCAAGGGACCCTCGAAAAAGGTAACAAAGCGAAGTGGCATAAGTTTTTGGTCACCCAAAATGACGTGCCCCGCGCCGGAGTAATGGCCAGCCCAGACACATTAAGTATGCGCCACCGGGGCCCCATTGTCGCCTCAGCAAGTCGGCAGGTACATATATGCCTCGACTCTCCTCTCCTCTCCTGTACTTTCGGTGTTTTAATTAAAATGAAATTAAGCAGTACGGCGGAGAAACGAGAGCGAGAGTGCAGGCCAGTGGCCGAACCATTCTCGGAATGTTTTAATACGAAATTGTAATACTCGCCAGCGAAATATGGATTCTGCGGCCGAAATGCAATTACAGGTCGACGGCTGACAAACAGCCAACAATGAAGTGGCAGTGGAATGGAAACGGGAATGAGTTGCGGTAATAAGTGGGGAAAACGTTGATTGGATGGGTTCCTCCTTTGAGTGGCTGAATTGGTAGATATAAGAAGGGCTATGAATCGTGGATATCCTTTTCTTATAGGGATTTTTCTTACTTTACCATTCGAAGGCCTTCACATATACTTTAGAGTGAGAATAGGGCACATATAGTTCCCATTTCGATATGATGCATTTCAATGGGCCTTTTCGGAGTGCAACTTGAGGGTAATGATGGTCAAACTCGTCTGATCGTAGCTCCGACTGATTGAAACGAATGAAGGGAGATGTAGTCGCAGGTCTGTAGATCAACAGATGATCAATCGATCCTCCCACCAATTCATTGAACTGAAGATCAGCTATTCATTTCCTCACCTGAAAAAGGTATTTCATAAAAGAAATGACAAACCTGTCGTTGGATGGCCATCGTCCCCCCGACAGACCTTCAATCGGTGTTGAACTGGATCATATGACCCTGCCTTGGTTGGAGGACTAGAATAAACCCGACTGGGTTAGGTCAGGCGGAGGCTCTTTAAGAGCCCTTCATACTTGGGCCTCGATCTTCCCTTTCCTGCATGGTGGAGGCTCTTAAAAGGTTTCCGATCTCTTTGGAATGTCGGTTAGGAAGGGCGTGCCCAAGCCTTCTTTTGCTGAGAGCTGAGTGCACCGACTAGAATCCTGTGAATTTGTGGTAGAACGATCACCGTAATACCCTTCAGCCCTCACAGGTCTATGGGACCCGTTCCAGGGTCTACCATTACTAGAGGTGGCTCCCCATATTTCCGAGTGGATTCTCCTGTAGATTCTCCTCTCAAAAACTTTGACATTTCGCCATTGGAATAACAAATAAATAAAATTCTACGTGGATAATCGTAAAATGACCAGTCCAAATTCGAAGCAGGACACCCGGATTGTGATCAGTCACTACGACACGATTACGACTCGCTGCACGCAGATCCTCACCGGCACGTGGAACCTCATCTGCAGCGGCGGCTATCCCCTGGACGCACTGATCCGGTACGACGGCAGGCTGGTCGCCGCCGGCGATCGCTATGCGGTGTTTCGCTCCCAGGTCGAGCCGGACAGCCTCCTGGCCGTCTTTCGCAGCCGGGCGGTCGCGCTCTGCAAGATCCTGCGGATCCAGTCAATGCACGAGTTCGAGTGCGTCGACAGGCGCGGAGGCCAGCAGATCATCACCATTGGCCACAGCCATCTGGTGTGTGTCCAGTATGCCTTCCACTTGGTGGACGAGCTGGTCGAGCACTGCTCGAGCGCCAGGGTGCCTCCGAACAGATTCTCGGCCCTGTACTACGCCGACATCGAGGTGGTTCTGAATCAGCTCCGGTCGGGCTGTGGCCCGGCGCTCAGTTCCAATATTCTGCTGCTCGTTGTTTCGGCCATCCTTCTGTTTGTTGTCGTTTTGCACTGGCGCTAATAAACGTGCCCCCTTTTTGAAGGGGCCTTTGATCCTAAGGAGCTGTCAGGGAGGTCTCCTTTTCCTTTGTTCCTGGCTGGAGGCCTCCTCCATTGGCCTGCTCGTGAATTCCCACGCCTGGCCTTCTAGGCCTGTAGATATTGAAGATATAGGTGGATCATAAGTGGAGGATCGGTTTGAATATATATCCACCTTTAAGTGGAGTTCTGGCCTGCCAGTTCTTCTGTTTGGAAAGAATGATAGATTGGAGTACATGGTCCCCAGAATCCCCAGTCCAAATCTTGCTTTGGAAGATGTTTTTGGATTAACTTCAGGCTTTTGATAATACCAATGGATTCAGGGATGGGATTAAGCCTTATGCCATAGCTTTGAGGTGCTTTTGTATCGACACACCATCGGTACCTCTGTTTGTTTCCACAGAATGATATTCCCCTGAGATTTTCCTCTAATTTTTGACCGATTTCACGATCAAAGGTAGAATTTTCAGATTGAATATTGGACTAGAACTAATTCTGAATCCTTGTCCAAAAAAAGCTTAAAGTAGAGCCTATTTTACCCTTTTGTTGGTTTAAAAAATTATACAAAATAATGCCATAAATTCCGTTTCCTATAATGAGCCTATCCTATAGAAAATTGTTGAATTTATCCCATAAAATTGTATTTCTTTTGAAAATCGCTAAGGAAAATGGCTCAAAACAGCTGTAAGGTGAAATGTTAGGACTGTGCCCACACTTATGACCGACACTGTATAGAGATTACTTTCGTTAAATGCTGCTTTCTTTTATTCGTATCAAAGTATTCCACATTCCCCGCCAAGTAATCTTATTTTTGTCCGATTTTTAGCCCTCTTCGACACCATTTTTATGCCCTGAGCATGACTCCTTTCCGCTTGACCTTTCCTCTCATTTAGCTCGCCCTCCGGCCCTCTCTCCCTTCCGGTATGTGCTTATCAAACCCTCATTCGGGGTAATCCCCTCAAGAGTGACTGATTAAGAGAGCCAAAGCCACGCTGATGATGATCCGATTAAAGCCCTAGCTGGTCGGTCAGTCCTCCACATCGGCACTCTCTATTCTCCGCTCCTTGGTGCAACCTGCAACTTGCAACTTGCAGCTTGAACGACGCTTAAAGTGCTGTCGGGGGCGCCGCAGAAGGACGCTGAAAGAGTAAAATAAATTCTGTTAACAGCAACGCGGCTGCCCCACAGAAAAAAGGGGAAACCAAGCGGCAACAAAAGTTTCAGTTACAGTTCTTTCCCCCCCCTCCACCCCAACCCCCAGCCTGTTGTAAGCTCTTTCTCTTTATGCGAAATGGGGTGATGAGTGGGGGGTGGGGAAGGGTGAAAGACCCGGGACCCTGGCCAGGGCTACAAATTCTGTTGGCCCCCTTTGTTGCGGCACCCGAACCCGCCCCCGCCCCCCGCCATCTTATAAATAAAAACATATTTATGCAAGGCTAAGACCAAGGATAAGGATGATCCTTTTGGATGGCCATGAAGAACAAAAGGCACAGCGAGGGCTCCGGGGCACTCCAAGCGGCCGGGCAGGCGTCTCCGAAGGGCCCTGCGGCCAGGATTCGAAACCAAATTTATTGCAGGTCGCGACGGTGTACTTCCCTTTCCCTTTTCCCTTTTTCTCCATTTTTTGTTGCATTGTAATTAAATGTTTGCGTCAAAAGCAAAGCTTTAAGTTTGTTGCACAGCCCTGAAAACCAAATTGCAACAAGCCGCATCAATTTCGTAATAAATTCTCAATGGCTATACGAGGGGGAAGGAGGGGTGGGGAGGGGGGGGGGGGGGACAGCAAAAATAAATAAATAAAAAGGTATTTGGCCTTGATGGTGGGCGTGTCGCCGTCGCCGTCGCGGTTCTTACGAGTCCGCCGCCGAAGTTTGTTCTTTTGAAAATATTTTCGAGCATAATTTATTTGCTTTGTGGCTGGGCTTTCGGGTTTCTTGCGAAACGCCCTGGAAACATGCAAATTAACTACAATTTTGATATCATTTTTTACGTATTGTTTTACGCTGCCTCCCTTTTGATTCCACGAGGTTTTTTGTTCATCGAATGCGAAATATATACTTGCGTTTGGATACCCTGGAAATCTGGGGGGGATAGACTCGCGTATGACAGGGAAACGGAAGCAGGAAGCACGAAAATCAGCGCTTTCGGATGAGCGGAATATGCCGTACGCTTGACCCTGGCATACTGTTGAAAATATTCATTAAAAATAGTCAAATTTCGATTTGCCGAACAGCCATCCTCCAGGCGTTCTTGAGTTATGAAAATAGGGACATTTTTGACCAATCAGCACTTTCGAATGAGCGGAATATTCAGTATTTGGCTTGTACTTGAACTCGGGATGAATCCACGAGATACTTGTGGGCGTTGTTCACCATCAGCAAAAATCAGTACTTTTGGATGAGCGGAATATTCGATAATTGGCTCATACTCCAATTAGAGACGATGGAGCAAAGCGGATGTACTTTTTGGCGTTGTCTACCATTCAATCTATAGTTCATTGCATTCATTCACGCCATTGCGTCGTGCTCACACGCACATTTTCATTATCTTGTTGGATTCCCTCGCCTGTCTTCTGCTATTCCACGTGTTTATTGCATTATTCAATCAAAAACTTCTACAGTTCAAATAAATACGATTTAGAAGATATTTTCGGTATTTTATTCAACTAAAAATCATCGCAATTGGTTAGTTTTTTGCTTGAAGCAGATATGTATAATTTTCTATAAATTTCCATCTTTTATCCAATAAAAATTGCAGAAAACCCAATCGATAAGAGATGCCAATTCTATTTTCTATTCTATTTGAATTGTTTTTTTTCCATCCATTAGAGGGTATCTTGTAGTTATGAGCATAATTTTTGCTTGGTTTCTTTGCACAAAAATACAATTAGAGGGTATCTTGTAGTCGTAATCGTTATTTTTGCATTGTTTTTTGCTGCATCTTTTGTTTGTTGTTTGCTGTTTGTGTGTATATGTGTTTTGTGTTTGTTGTTTCTGTTGTATTATTGTTATAAGCCGCTAATTTTGTTTAATTATGGATCTTTTTGATTGTCATTCCCCGTATCGTGGGATGGGGGGGTCGGACAAAGAATCGCCAAGAATTCACCTCTACCTTCGCCTCCGCCTCTGCCTCTGCCGCTGATGTCATAATGTGAAGTCATGTCGGAGGCAAAGAGAGAGAGAGAGAGAGAGAGAGAGACAGCTAGCGAACGTGTAGGGTAGAGCTACAGTGCGTTTCGGTCATATAGAGATACGTACATCTGTCTGGGGATTACTTTGAGTAGGGTTCGGGGTCTTTTAATGATGGTTTGACATATTTCTTTGTATTCATTTTAGAAGCATAATTCCTAGAAGGTTTTCGCCCCCCCTAAATCCTGTAATTCCCCTTTAAAAATTCCATCTTTGAATACGATTTTCGCACAACAAATTGGTAGATTAGTTTTCAATAATTTCCCATTAAATTTTGTCTTTTAGTTGCAACTTTTCGAATACCATTTTTGAATACTAATTGCACTTACACTTTAGTACCGCACTGTCTTTGTTTCTTGCTTCAATTTCCTTGGCATAAACTTTGTTTTGGGAACCGCCTGCCAAATGCTGCAACAACACTGAGCGAAACCGTAAGATACATATGTATCTGAGTATGGCTGTGCGCTGAAAAAGGGAAATTGAAAATTTTTGAAAATCTTTTTGCAGCTGCAGTTGAGTTTCGATTGTATTCAAATATACGAGACATGAATTATTATTTTTGTGGGCACACAGGCCCCCCTCCCCCTAGTTTGTGGCGTGGCCTTGTTGCTAATAACCTCAATATGAGATCTACTGCCCCCCCCACCCCACTCCCCCTCCACGTGGCCATCTTTGTTGGTAGCCTCTCCGCCAGGGTAAAAGTCTTCGGTGGGGGGTTCTCATATTTCTCGAAGAGTTTTCCCTTTTCGGTTTCACTTTTCACAGCAGTTCCGTTCTCAGAGGCAAATGCATGACGAGCCCCAGAGAGGAGGGCGAAAGGGGGAGGAGGAGGGGGTGATAGTGTGAAATATTAACCACCTGCAGAGCTCATGAGGCCTGCTAATAATTAGAGTACAAATCTGCTTGAAAGGCTCCAGCGAGCAAGGGAAAGTGCGGCCCAAACAGAAGGCCGTGGAAGAGGGCCAGAGGGGGTGGGGTGAGGTGGGGTGGGATGCGTGCCATAACTGTAAAGAGATAAATGCAAACAAATTGATGATCCGGCAGCGAGCAGGCAAATTACTAACAATTTCAGCCAGAGAACCGTTCAAGAGGAGCCACAATGGAACGAAA